CCCCAAAACCCCAAAACCCCAAAACCCCATGAGGGCGATAAGTGAAGAATAGTATGATTTTGAATGCATGAGTTGAGTAAGCGGGAAGCCAATAAGTTAGTTAGAGTGATTTAATTAATAACCATCCACTCAGATACCTGAAAAAGTACAACTATTATTAATTCTTGATTAAAATGAAGATCATGTCATTTTCTGGAATTTGAATAGTTAATTAGTGCTAAGTCCTTTCTTCTTCATGTAGAATATCAGGAATGAGAAAGAGAAACCTATCATTCCCAGAATCCCCACGAACATTAAAAATCCTGCATATATATTTGAATTTTCTATAAAAATATTCGATTAAAATCAATAATGTAATGATAAAAATTGGTCTTACCTTAAATCCATTTAGTTAGTTCATCCTTGCAATTGCCAGTAGGTGGACCTCTAAAAAATAGTTAGACAATCAGTCAAGACAAATTTTAATATTATTTATCCATTATATCTAGTTCATTGTGTGTATTTGAATATTACTCCAAAACAGAGATAGTTTTAAGAAAATTTATGAATTATTATGAAAATTAACTTACAATTCCACATTTGAAAATAGCAGATAGGGTGGCACTGTGCAGATTCCAGAACATTGAAATGCTTTTTCTAAGGCGATGATTACTGGAAGTACTTTTTCTCTTTCATAGTTTGAAGGGTTGTATGATGGGCAGTCGGAGTATTCATTGGAGCCTGAGGCTTCTGTCACCATTCCCTTTTGGATCTCAGCAGGCCATTTATTTTTATCAGCAGAGCAAGGACAGCTAGAGGAACAGAGAACACTTTAACCTTTAGTGTATAACTCATCTATCTAATATGAGATTCCAGCCTTTGTATTGCAATCCCTTTTTAATTCATCACTCATTGTGTCTATTATTAGGCGCTTAGATTATAAAAAGTATAATTACTCCTGATGATTAGAATTGCAATAGCCATTGCCACGAATATCAACATTATACTCATAGCCATAAACCCATACTACACAATAACATGTAACTTGACATAAATCCTTACAATAAATGCGAGGCAGTGATTTTTAGAGTAAGCAGCAGTTACTCCGACTGCAGCGGTAACCATAAGGAAAGAACCACAGATGATCATCCCTAAAAAAATTGTCTAATTTATGCCCAGAATCTTCAAAATATCATTGTTTATGGATTGCCCTCCGAGCACGAATATAGCTACTGACACTGCCTATTCCAAATTAAGATATTATTATAGGAGAGTAGGGATAAGTGTTTAAATACGGTAAATGCTGAACCAATGACTGCTATAGTCGCTCTCACGCATTTCTTGTCTAGAGACATTTTATTTCTATTATATGTATGTGATTAATGCCCTGCTTTATTCAAATGCTACGTCTGGGGTTTTGGGGTTTTGGGGTTTTGGGG